AGGCGGATGTGCAGCACGGCTACCATCGCGCCCAATGGGCGCGACGGTCAACAGGCGGATGTGTGGCGTGGCTACCATCCCGCCCAATGGGCGCGATGGTCAACAGGCGGATGTGCAGCGCAGCTACCATCGCGCCCAATGGGCGCGACGGTAAACAGGCGGATGTGCGGTGCGGCTACCATCGTGCCCAATGGGCGCGACGGTAAACAGGTGGATGTGCGGCGTGGCTACCATCGCGCCCAATGGGCGCGACGGTCAACAGGCGGATGTGCGGCACGGCTACCATCGCGCCCAATGGGTGCGACGGTCAACAGGCGGACGTGTGAGGCGGCTACCATCGCGCCCAATGGGCGCGACGGTGAACAGGCAGATGTGCGGCAGGCTACCATCGCGCCCAATGGGCGCGACGGTGAACAGGCGGATGTGCAGCGCGGCTACCATCGCGCCCAATGGGCGCGACGTTCAACAGGCGGATGTGCAGTGTGGCTACCATCGCGCCCAATGGGCGCGACGGTGAACAGGCGGATGTGCAGCGCGGCTACCATCGCGCCCAATGGGCGCGACGGTCAACAGGCGGACGTGCGGCGTGGCTACCATCGCGCCCAATGGGCGCAACGGTCAACAGGCAGATGTGCGGCGCGGCTACCATCGCGCCCAATGGGCGCGACGGTCAACAGGCGGATGTGCGAGGCGGCTACCATCGCGCCCAATGGGCGCGACGGTCAACAGGCGGATGTGTGAGGCGGCTACCATCGCGCCCAATGGGCGCGACGGTGAACAGGCAGATGTGTGAGGCGGCTACCATCGCGCCCAATGGGCGCGACGGTCAACAGGCGGATGTGCGGCGCGGCTACCATCGCGCCCAATGGGCGCGACGGTCAACAGGCGGATGTGCAGCGCGGCTACCATCGCGCCCAATGGGCGCGACGGTGAACAGGCGGATGTGTGAGGTGGCTACCATCGCGCCCAATGGGCGCGACGGTGAACAGGCAGATGTGCGGCGCGGCTACCATCGCGCCCAATGGGCGCGACGGTCAACAGGCGGATGTGCAGCGCGGCTACCATCGCGCCCAATGGGCGCGACGGTGAACAGGCGGATGTGCGGCGTGGCTACCATCGCGCCCAATGGGCGCGACGGTGAACAGGCAGATGTGCGGCGCGGCTACCATCGCGCCCAATGGGCGCGACGGTGAACAGGCGGATGTGCAGCGCGGCTACCATCGCGCCCAATGGGCGCGACGTTCAACAGGCGGATGTGCGGCGCGGCTACCATCGCGCCCAATGGGCGCGACGGTGAACAGGCGGATGTGCAGGCGGCTACCATCGCGCCCAATGGGCGCGACGGTGAACAGGCGGATGTGTGGCGCGGCTACCATCGCGCCCAATGGGCGCGACGGTCAACAGGCGGATGTGCGGCGCGGCTACCATCGCGCCCAATGGGCGCGACGGTCAACAGGCGGATGTGCGAGGCGGCTACCATCGCGCCCAATGGGCGCGACGGTGAACAGGCGGATGTGCGAGGCGGCTACCATCGCGCCCAATGGGCGCGACGGTCAACAGGCGGACGTGTGAGGCGGCTACCATCGCGCCCAATGGGCGCGACGGTCAACAGGCAGATGTGCGGCACGGCTACCATCGCGCCCAATGGGCGCGACGGTGAACAGGCGGACGTGTGCAGCGCGGCTACCATCGCGCCCAATGGGCGCGACGGTGAACAGGCAGATGTGTGAGGTGGCTACCATCGCGCCCAATGGGCGCGACGGTGAACAGGCGGATGTGCGGCGCGGCTACCATCGCGCCCAATGGGCGCGACGGTCAACAGGCAGATGTGTGAGCGCGGCTACCATCGCGCCCAATGGGCGCGACGTTCAACAGGCAGATGTGCGGCGTGGCTACCATCGCGCCCAATGGGCGCGACGGTGAACAGGCAGATGTGCGGCGCGGCTACCATCGCGCCCAATGGGCGCGACGGTCAACAGGCGGATGTGCAGGCGGCTACCATCGCGCCCAATGGGCGCGACGGTGAACAGGCGGATGTGCGGTGTGGCTACCATCGCGCCCAATGGGCGCGACGGTGAACAGGCAGATGTGCGGCGCGGCTACCATCGCGCCCAATGGGCGCGATGGTCAACATGCGGATGTGCGGTGCGGCTACCATCGCGCCCAATGGGCGCGACGGTAAACAGGCGGATGTGCGGTGTGGCTACCATCGCGCCCAATGGGCGCGACGGTAAACAGGCGGATGTGCGGCGCGGCTACCATCGCGCCCAATGGGCGCGACGGTCAACAAGCGGACGTGTGAGGCGGCTACCATCGCGCCCAATGGGCGCGACGGTGAACAGGCAGATGTGCAGCGCGGCTACCATCGCGCCCAATGGGCGCGACGGTCAACAAGCGGACGTGTGAGGCGGCTACCATCGCGCCCAATGGGCGCGACGGTGAACAGGCAGATGTGCAGCGCGGCTACCATCGCGCCCAATGGGCGCGATGGTCAACAGGCAGATGTGCAGCGCGGCTACCATCGCGCCCAATGGGCGCGATGGTCAACAGGCGGATGTGCAGCGCGGCTACCATCGCGCCCAATGGGCGCGACGGTGAACAGGCGGATGTGCAGCGCGGCTACCATCGCGCCCAATGGGCGTGACAGTCAACAGGCGGATGTGCATCATGGCTACCATCACGCCCAATGGGCGCGACGGTCAACAGGCGGATGTGCGGCGCGGCTACCATCGCGCCCAATGGGCGCACTTTATTGAACTGCTATGCAAGACGTACATGTAACATGATATGCTAGATGTGGTATGCATACCACTGTTCACGGGGTCGGTGTTACACCACTGTATGTTGGATGCTCACCCTGCAGGGTGAGAAAGGATGAGCACATGGACTGAGGAAAATTACAGTGCAGGGGTGGGCATGCAGCTGCAGCACTCACCCCGGTAATGGGAACACCCTCCTGGCCCCTGGGTAGGGAACCTTTAAGGCCAGATGTTAACCAAACACTAGCAACATACACCTACCCAGCATGGCCACCATTACCTCACTGCTCAATTACCCATCCAGGCTAAGAAATAGTCTGTACAGCAGTGTCCTCCTGGGGATTGCGGGCTTCCAGGTGCAGCCCAGTATAAGACAGAACAAAAGCACTTAGGGCCTCTAAGATG